ATAGCTTTCTTTGATAGGATAACGAGCCTTGTGGATAAGGGAGAAGCGGTGGATGTCATATACCTAGACTTTAGTAAGGCATTTGATACGGTCTCGCATGATATTCTTATTGATAAACTAGGCAAATATAACTTAGATAGGGCCACGATAAGGTGGGTGCATAATTGGCTGGATAACCGTAGTCAGAGAGTTGTTGTTAACGGTTCTAAATCCTGCTGGAAAGGGATAACAAGTGGAGTTCCTCAAGGGTCTGTTTTGGGACCCGTACTGTTCAATATCTTCATCAATGATGTAGATATTGGGATAGAGAGTACTCTTATTAAGTTTGCAGATGATACCAAACTGGGTGGGGTTGCAACTTCTTTGGAGGATAGGGACATAATTCAAAATGACCTTAGCAAGTTAGAGAAATGGTCAGAGGTAAACAGGATGAGGTTTAATAAGGAGAAATGCAGAGTGCTCCACTTAGGAAGGAACAATCAGTTCCATACATACAAGATGGGAAGCGACTGTCTAGGAAGGAGCATGGCGGAAAGGGATCTAGGGGTCATAGTGGACCACAAGTTGAATATGAGTCAACAGTGTGATGCTGTTGCCAAAAAAGCAAATATGATTCTAGGTTGTATTAACAGGTGTGTTGTAAGCAAAACTCGTGAAGTCATTCTGCCGCTCTACTCTGCACTAGTTAGGCCTCAGCTGGAGTACTGTGTCCAGTTCTGGGCGCCACATTTCAAGAAAGATGTGGAGAAATTGGAAAGGGTACAGAGAAGAGTGACAAGAATGATTAAAGGTTTAGAGAACATGACCTATGAAGCCAGGCTTCGTGAACTGGGCTTGTTTAGTTTGGAAAAACGAAGATTAAGGGGGGACATGATAGTGGTTTTCAAATATCTAAAAGGGTGTCACAAGGAGGAAGGAGAAAATTTGTTTCTCTTGGTTTCTGAGGACAGGACAAGGAGTAATGGGCTTAAAGTGCAGCAGGGGAGGTTTAGATTGGACATTAGGAAAAAATTCCTAACTGTCAGGGTGGTCAAATATTGGAATAAATTGCCAAGGGAGGTGGTGGAATCTCCCTCTCTGGAGATATTTAAGAACAGGTTAGATAGACATCTGTCAGGGATAGTGTAGATGGAGCTTGGTCCTGCCTTGAGGGTGGGGGGCTGGACTCGATGACCTCTCGAGGTCCCTTCCAGTCCTATGATTCTATGACTCTAGGTCCAAGTTTGAGGCCCTCAGAGACGTAGCGTAAGAGAGGGTAATTCCTGTACTTCCCTCCAGGCAACTCTGGACACTGCAGACTCTGGAATCCCCCCAGAGGTCCAGAACACGATACAAAACCTTCCGTTTGATGGTTCCAGCTTGCCTGCAGAACAAACTGATTCCAGGCTTCATAGTTTAAAAGACACAAGGGCTATGTTAAAGTCCTTGGGCCTTCACAAGCCTATGACTCAGCAGAGGCCTTTCAAGCTGATTCTGCCACCCCGATACTTGCCTCCTCAACAGAAACAGAACAGAAGGGGTAGCACGTGAAGTCATCACCACCCACCGAGTGCTAATAGTAGTGGGCATGGGGGCATTAATCAGGCCCAGTCCTCATGGTAGTTGCCAGGACCCAAGAAGAACTTTTGAAAGTTTACCCTAGGGGCAAGGTACCTTTCTCCCTCTTGGATCCTGTCCTGGAGCAAGTTATCCCATGTTTACCATGCTTGGGCCAAGGTCACGTCCGAAAGAGGGGTTATTATATCCAACTTCTGGCTACCCTGCCTTCCCACCCCTGTGACAGGAGGTGCGGACACTCCTCGAGACAAAGGCAGTAGAGGAGGTCCCTCTGCAGTTCAAGGGCACAGCGTTTTACTCCTGTTACTGCATTAGGCCAAAAGCCAATGGCCGGTTACATCCCATATTAGACCTACGCAGTCTAAACAGATACCTGAAAAACTTAAAATTCCTTATGGGATCCTTGGCCTCAATTATCCCTTCCCTGGATCCAGGAGACTGGTACATTGCCCTCCATCTGAGGGACACGCACTTTCATGCGGCCATTGTTCCGGCTCACAGAAGATCTCTGCATTTCACCCACTCTCTGTTCAGGGTCTATCACGCTAATAGTCTTTACAAGCACATGGCAGTGCTATGGGTCTTCCTGCACCGCAGAGGAGTCCAGGTCTTCCCTTACCTGGATGACTGGCTGATCCAAGGGCCCTCTGAAGCAGTGGTTAGGGCCCATGCAGAACTGACCAACACCACGTTCAGCCAGTTAGGCCTCTTCCTGAACCTTCAAAAGTTGACCCTATCACCTACACAGGTGATGGAGTTCATCAGAACTCATCTAGACTGCCAGGCAGCCAGGGCCTCCCTCCCCCCCCACCACATTTTGAGAGCATGTGCATACTGATTTAGGGTCTGGGGGGCCCACCCTGTTACAACGGCCAGGACCTGCCGAAGAGTGTTAGGGCCCATGGCTTCCTGAACCCACATTTTCCCTTTGCCAGGCTTCGTCTCCATCCTCTACAGATGTGGTTAGAGAGCGTGTACAAGATGTCTTGCCACCATCAGGACAGGGTGTTAACAGTGCCACTGTCAGTGACAGATGTCCTTCAGTGGGGGCTGGAAGCCCTGAATACAACGGCCAGGACCTGCCGAAGAGTGTTAGGGCCCATGGCTTCCTGAACCCACATTTTCCCTTTGCCAGGCTTCGTCTCCATCCTCTACAGATGTGGTTAGAGAGCGTGTACAAGATGTCTTGCCACCATCAGGACAGGGTGTTAACAGTGCCACTGTCAGTGACAGATGTCCTTCAGTGGGGGCTGGAAGCCCTGAATTTTGAGAGCATGTGCATACTGATTTAGGGTCTCGGGGGCCCACCCTGTTACAACGGCCAGGACCTGCCGAAGAGTGTTAGGGCCCATGGCTTCCTGAACCCACATTTTCCCTTTGCCAGGCTTCGTCTCCATCCTCTACAGATGTGGTTAGAGAGCGTGTACAAGATGTCTTGCCACCATCAGGACAGGGTGTTAACAGTGCCACTGTCAGTGACAGATGTCCTTCAGTGGGGGCTGGACGCTCTGAATGTGTGCCGGGGAGTCCATCCTACTCCCCTCACCCCACTCTGACTTGAGTAACTGATGCCTCGGCCTTGGAGCGGAACGCACATTTGAACACCGTGTAAAAGTTGGGTGCTGACGCCTTTCAACAATTCTCTTCCTTTTTATACCACACAATGACTGTCACTTTAAGAGTGCAATAATATGTTTAAAAAAAAAAAGAAAGAAAAAATAATTGATTCTGAAAGCGAAGCCAACAGCAATTGTTTAACATTAGGCCGTGATGATCCCCAGTGTACACAGCCCCACACACACACACTGCACTGCTGTGTTTTATACAGCTCCAACAGCAATTGTTTAACATTAGGCCGTGATGATCCCCAGTGTACACAGCCCCACACACACACACTGCACTGCTGTGTTTTATGCAGCTGTTCTTCCG